TGGGGATAACATTACAACTTCACGCCGATTTAAGTGTGTATTTCAGAAATGGGCATAACCGCTGGATTTTGTACCCTGAAGGCTCAGTTTATTCCTCCGGACTTTCCCTTCGAGAGCGCTCGTTTTGACTCGGTTCAAAGAAGGTGAGATTTTATGGCGGAAGACTCAGAAGCGAATTCAAAGGAATTGAACAGTGGCTTAATTAAGCTGCCCAGGGCCACGAAGTTTTAAAGGTATCCTTTTGTTCTAAATGTGTCAATAAAACTGCAGAGAATTATCGCACATATCGCGGTAGAAGTTTATGGATTTAAGTCTTTCGCAAAACTTCTTCGACTAGGGTACGTATTTTTGAAAAAGGAGAGTTTTGAGAGCTTCAAAAAGAGATCTTGAACGAGAAATTTCGACCACTGTGGACCGAGATTGGATTTTTTTTCTTGCCGAGGTTTCGAAGTACAAAGCAAGCCGCTGAAGCATTTTTTCTCGCCTATCGCTTAATAAAATCCGACCGGCCGAGAGTTATCCATTCATTCAATCATAACAGTTATCCATTTCTCCAGAGCAATCAAACTATACAAGCGTTTCTACGAAATTATTTCGAGGAATTATGAATTCCGCAAGTTTTGATCTGTCGATTACAGTTTTAGGTATTTCCTGTCTCACTCGATTAGCTCCGCGAATAAAGTTGTCATGCAAATCGGTGAACTGACAATACGCGGTTATTTCGGGCCCTGCAGTCACGTAACTGAAACGCAAGGTTTTTTTCAGCAAAAAAACTGAAAGGCAAGCAAAAACGTCCAAAAAAGTGAAATTACACGCTGATAAATCTGTGTCATCCCGTTAAATGCATTCTCCGCTTGCGTTGTTTACATTTTGAAGAGAGTGTTCGCTCTTGATTGCAGAGCGCAGGTTTTGATAATACTGAATGAATAAAACGTGCTAATAAATACCTTCCGCAGCAATTCTTTAAACGCCAAATTATTTTCAAGGCAAGGGAGTATTTAATAAAAAAAATACCATAGGGGACCAGGTATTTATAAGCTTTAATCAACTTCAAATTTATCAGGCTTGTTTCGTTTGTAATACGGTACGTGACCGAAAATATGTTATGCAACCAGAGTTGTCCGCCACACTTGAAAGACTTGTAAGCGTTCCCACAGACCGCAGCAAATTTAACAGGCAAGTCCGAGTATTTTAATGGATAAATTTAATATTCATCAGGTAACAATGGGGATTAAAAAGTCAATCAAGCAACAAAATTCGAAACAAAAGAGACATATCGCACCTAAATCAAAGGAATTCCGCTCGTGGATTCTTCGGACGGTAATCGACAATGGCCAGAACAATAGCCTGAATATATGAATACTTGATAACCCCAAAATTTGGGGTACACACTTAAATCGGCGTGAAGTTGTAATGAATCACAAAAATAGAACGTTTTCTCAAATTATAAAGCCATAAAATTCATTTGTTACCCTTGTTGAGCCCTTTCACAGACTCAAATGACAGATTTCCCTACCCTTTCGTATACTACAGTGAGTAAAATCTCTACCCTTTTGATATACCTGACGCCTGAAAAAGATACCCCTTTGGGCGGAGCCTCCTCGTACAGGCTATTATAGGAAGTACCCCTCCGGAAGCCTAGGCATCCAGCCAGGTGACTTATAAACCCAAGGCTTCTATCAGTAGAAACACATGTATTACATGGTGACCATTGCATGCAAACCGCCTTTTACAATAACAAGAAGGTGTAACTATCAAAGGCGGTAAATAATGGTGCATGGAGATAGACCGCGACACAATGAGCGTCGTTTACTATTTGGCGCTATGCACCGACCCTTAAGAGGGGTAGATGATATGTTTAGCCATTTTCAGTAGCTAGATATACTAGCAATTTTCGCGTGTTGTGATTGGCCCCTGTAACTTCCGAGGGTATTATATCCAAGGGGCCTTAAAATCGGAATAGAATTTAAATGAGTTAAAAACACTCTATAGCGGTGCTGCGCAAAATACAATTTGCATTTACTGGGTTTATATTAAGCTTCAAAACGTCATTGATAATAAATAGATTTCACAGGAAGCTTATAATTGGTGCTAGAGGGGGGCTTATATTCGGGGAGACGTATAATAGCATGTATAGAAAGATTGGTCTATAATTGGGGGCCGTATAAGTGGCGGGGGGGGGGGGGGCTTATCATCGGCTGTTACGGTATGTGAGTTTTTTTAGCCAGACTCCTTAACGTAATGACGGACTGTGTTCAAGTATTATAAGAAGAGACCTCGTCTTTGGGCGTTCGAATTGCACAACTTAGTTGACTAGAAAATAGGAATGAAATGTATTAAAAAGTTTTATCCATTCTCATTTTTTGTTCTGCTATTTTAAGGCTGGTTTACAGGCAGCGATTGTGTACCCGATTTCAATAGAAAACATATGACGATGCAACAGATCATTTTAATGTATCCGATTTTTGACCAGTTTATATCTTTTCATTTTTCTTTCGAAAAATCATAGCGTGAAAACTGCCTTAAAGCTCTCCAGTTACAAGAGCAAGTTTTCTTGAACAAGGGAAACTTCATGGGCACCCAACGACTGTTTTCTATAAAATATCTGTTCGGAGAACTGCACATATTGCTTAGTATTTTCTTTTACTTCAGGGCGGCAAACAATTTCTAGATGACCGTTCCATTCACGTACAATTTTGGAAGCTTATCTAACTTATAAATTCCCCAAGATTTTCGTAAGTTTAATTCTCACATTTTACTTCCCAAGTTCCGATCGGCTTTTTTCGTAGAAAAAAGGGAATCTAAAATTTTCGGATTAAAAAATGTGGTAGTGTTAAGAATCGGAAAATGTCTCACTTTCGTAATACGTCAAATTTCATCTAAGATTTTCGGAAAAAATAATACTCAAGCCCTTGTGATTTCGAGAAGACTCAAGTTCCCCTAGGATGACCGAACAGATACTAATTTTATAGCGCCGCTTAAAATGCATTTTAAGAGATCTAAAAGTACTCTAGATGACCTAAAAAGTGTTTCAATGTATTTAGGAGAAACCATCGTTGGGTGCCCCTGAAACCTTCCCCGCCGTTAAAAAGGTAAAGGGGAGCTCCATTATGTTACGAGCCTCACTATGTTATGAGCTCCATTATCCGTCTTATACGTGCTACTCGACTCACAATTTTGTTATCGCGCGAGAATGAAGCTGCCTCTAACATAAATGTCTCGCAACAGTATTTTTGAAAAAGTAGGTTCACGTTCTACATTATGTAACGTCTGCTACAGTAAAAGTAAGAACGAAGACGATGCGCTCTCTTTTTGACTGACTCTAGATCATAATAGCCGGGGAGGCTACTCAACACAGTTTTATATGGGGGTCAGACTTCGCCCCGATGACTAACCCCTTAACCCTGTACTTACAATTTTTGACAGAAAAGATACCTTTTGTATACCTTCTATTGGACGTATTTAAACTAGAGACGGACTATTCGTTGGAAAGTTCGTGTCGGGCAGATAATCGTCTTATATGATTGCACTTATAAGCCTTCCTCTTCAGTTATGGGCCCATATACTGGCTGTTAACGAAAAAAATACATCCGAATATAATCCCCACCGGGTATAATAAGCTCCCCTCTTGCTTGAACTGAATTGATTGGAATTCGATTTCTAATGACGTTTTGAATCCTTAATTAACGACCAGTAAATTCACAAACATCTATTTTGATCAGCAATGCTACAGCTTATTTCGAAGCGCTTTTTCTATGACATCAGTAAGCGCCCTCGGATATTAAAAGCCCGTCGGTTTATACGCCTTCTAAAAACCCCTTAGGAAGATGTATAATCCCACAGCTTATAAGCGACAGTTTATGGTAATAATTTAATACTAAAGGCGATCTGTTAAGAATGAGCCACATTTAACACGACTGGAAATAACTTGACGTCTGTGGATTCATGGCCGAAAAAATACTTTTTGCTAAGCTTTTGTTTGTTCTTGTTTTATTTTACTCTTTTTCTTTTTTTTTTCTTTTTTTTTTTTTTTTTTTGTGCGAGCAATCATCTTAATAACGTCATACCTCTCACACGTATCTAGCAACAACAGGAAGTCTTCTTGTCGTTTTCATGTAGCGTTTAATTAATGAATTTTAATATAATTTTCATTTCAGTGGCTGTAAAATTACCAAATTTGAAAGTGTTACGCCTTAATTGTGCGACGATATAGCTCCGTAAAGTTGCGAAAATCTACTGACGTTTGTACGTGATGGGGTGGTTGTCGGGGGGGGGAGGGACCAAGACTGTCCCCGACCCCCCACCATACAAACGTTTGTAAAATTTCCCGACTTTGAGGCCGAGCTATATCGTCGTTGGTTTTCAACAAATCACTTTCAAACTTGGCAAATTTTCTAATTTCAAGGCATTTTTTTTCTAATGGTGAAAAAAAAAAAGTGGAATGGTCTATCCTGAAAGAGGAACCCTTTTAAGCAGAGCCTCCCCATATAGGTCATTATAGTGAGCCCGCCAAAACACCCCTCCCCGCCTCTCAAGGTATACGTATAAGATACGGGAATTTAAAAATAGCCCACTAACATTAGACACGTTGAGGCTTGTTTAGCTGGAGTTTAATGGAGCCGCTACTTTTTCTGATATAACAACATAACATAGCCAACTTGGACTGAGGGCAAAGTATTATTTTTGGCGCACTATAGAGTAAAGGCATCGGGTACCGTTAGAAACGCAAAGTCGTGATAGCATGCATAAAACTTTGTTGCTTTTGTAACAATTTATGTTCTGTAATATATTTTTGGAATGTTCATCTTTTGACCCTGTTTCAGTACTCTGAAGCTGGCTTATAAACAGAGAATCAGAAGATGTAAAAAATTGCCATAAAAGGAAAAACAAACAAACAATATACAGGAAAAGAGGTTTTACTTAAAATATTTACTATAAAATGAATGAGCACGTAGCACTGATTTCAAAAAACGCTGTGTTCTCCTTCTATTCACACCGCCATGGTTCAGTACTTCGCTGTTTTCCTGATTCTCTCTTTTTTTGGCGGCTCTGTGGGAACAACCACCTCACCTCAGCAACGAAATGATTCAAAGTTAAAAGACTTATGCCAGGTAAGAAATGCATAGAGATATAAAAAAGGAGAATTGCGCCGTTTTACTAGTCTCACGTCGTTATTATCATTTACTAAATAGTACCCGTTACAAGTGTATGGCAGTTTATTTAAAAGTCCTCACTTCAGCATGATCTTTCCTCGAAAACCTGACGCCTGTCCATTGTTAACTGTTAATTTTCTCTGATTCTATCCAAGTCCATTCGAGGGGAGATAACGCGTTAACTTTAACAGTAGCTAAAAACCTAGGCTCATTGTTTGATGAGCAGCTCACTATGTCAACTCATATTAACAAGTTATGTGGTGTTGCCTTTTACCATTTGCATGATATTAAACGCATTCGCAAGTATTTGTCTCGGGAATCAACGATACTACTTATTACGTTCAAAGCAATTCACGGCCTTGCTCCTAAATATTTACGCAATTTACTAACATTTAAATCGTCCTTATATAACCTTAGATCTTCAGGTAGTATTTTACTTTCTATGCCAGCTGTTCGATCGAAGACGTTAGGTGATAGAGCTTCTATGGTAGCAGCGCCAAGGCTCTAGAACTCTCCTCCAAAAGAACTTCGTACGATTACTAATGTGAACAGTTTTAAGGCGTATATTAAGACTTATCTTTCTGATCTTTTTAGAACTTTATATTGGTGAGCAATATTATATTCAGTTCTTACTTACATGCATATATATTCATTTTATTTTTTATTTTTAAATGCGTTATCTTTTATTAAATTCTTGTAAAGTAATGCAGTTGTAATGCGCATTCTGATCATTCTCATGTTAAGCTGTGCACGGGGGGGCACTTTTGGAATTTCTGGGTGGTGATGTGCCGCTGGGAGCCTGGAACCCCTAACCTTCACCAGAGCTAGTTCAGCTGAATTTTGCTACCCTATACTAGAGTAAACTCCCCAAATCCCCCTGTCCTAGAGTAGCTGTGTACCTAGTCTAGATAAAATCTTCAACCAACTGATCAGTTTCCTGAAAAATGATACCCTATTCTAGAGCCAATCGCTCTGATTTATATACCCTATCCTAGAGTAAACTGCTTGAAAACCATACCCTTCACAGCGGCACATACCTATATAGCCCATATATGGCAGTACCCCCCCGGGGTGTGCACAATAAGTTCATAAACTATTATTATTATTATTATTATTATTATTATTAAATAGGATTATGATGTCCAATGTCCATTCCGTGCCTCGAAAACAAGAGAGACGGCTGGCGTGTACAGACTTTGTTCATTTGAGAAGGAAAGAGAAATAATTATGCGAATCTTTTTCGTTGCTGTTCTTAATCTAAGTAATGGTGACATTCATAATTTCTTGGAGACAAGGTCTGAAAACTGGTGTGGATTTTAGACTCTGAAAACGAGTGTAAAAAATAACGTGTTTTGGTCTGAAATAGAGTCAGGATTTGGGGAACCGGGCGGCACATTCCCACCGAGGAGTACATCCCCCCCCCTTCTCCCCGAGTCATTTACAATCGTCTCTGCTAACTACAAGTCATCTTTACTTTCAGCGATCTATGCTGGGTTTCCTTGGTATTCCAGGATCAAATGGGATACCGGGAGTGCCGGGCGTCCCGGGGCCACATGGACCCCAGGGAAGAGAAGGTGTAAAAGGACAACTTGGTGATAAAGGATCACAAGGAATGCCGGGTCCAAGAGGAGACAGAGGGCGCGAAGGACCCCCTGGGAAGAGTGGACCACGAGGAATTCAGGGAATGAAAGGTCAACAGGGACTTCTGGGAATGAAAGGAGAGCGCGGAGCAGTGGGAATAAAAGGAGAGCGAGGCATTGCGGGAATGAAAGGAGAGCAAGGAGCTGTGGGAATGAAAGGACAGCGAGGCATTGTGGGAAATTCAGGAAGAAAAGGAGACAAAGGAGAGAAAGGAGAAAGCGCCAAAGCAAGTCAAGCAAGTGTATTAACACAAACCAACTGGAAACAATGTGTGTGGAAATCACTCAGCAATACTGATAACGGGATGATTAAGGTAACTGAAAATAAGAATCATAACAAATTCTAAAGGAAAGTAATTCCTCTCTAAATCAAAATATTTCAAAGAAGAACGTCTCCCTTCTCACTCACCATTTTCCATCACATTACATAAATAACTAAGTTACATTTCTCTCTACTTTGGTTCTTTTTGAACGAAAAAAGGAAAGCCATCTTGGGTGATAAAATGATTCCTGGCCATAAGGATAACGAAAATTGAAGCTATTACAGAGTTTTTAAAAATTAGAAAGTAATCTTGACTGGAGTTGTTAGTATCAATCATTACACACGGTTGCTCGCCTTACTACAATATGTTTGATTTGTTTGATTTTTATTCTAGGACTGTGCGTTTAACAAACTGCAGTCTAATTCAGCGCTCAGAGTCTCATTCCAGGGAAACATGAGGGTCCATGGTCATCTTAAGTGTAACCGGTGGTATTTCAAGTTCAATGGAAATGAATGCAGTGGACCAATGACGATTGAGGCTGTTGTTTACAACTACTGGCCACCTGGGAACAACCCTACTTTGCTGCGTCATCGGTCATTTGAGGGATACTGTGAAAACATCCCTCAAGGCGCTGTTAGAGTGGAATTATGGGTAGGACAGTGTAGTGGCGAAAACCTGGGTGATGCTGCCACTGGGTGGAATTCAGTGTCCCGGATAATGATTGAAGAAGTATCTAGGCCCCAGTCCTAATAAGGGGAGTCCTTAACTTTGGCGCCGTTTTAATTTCCTTAGAATACCATTCTACAAATATAGACTGTAAAGCGCAAGGAAGTTTGGTTATTTTTTTTTAGCCCTTTTGTGAACTACTTCCGTCTTATATCAGATTGTCAATAGTAAACTCTAATAACAGTATCATGATTTTGTATTGTTATGTCGTCATGTTAGTCCTGTGCAGCAGCTCTTTGTTCTGTCACGCAGTGCTTCTCTAGCTTGATTGTGGGGAGGCACCTTTCGTGACCACACAATAACCGGCAGAGCCCGTAGGGGATTGGTCTCCGATGCAGCCTGCCTTGTCACGTATCGCTACTTCTCGTTGCTTGACGAGACAAAATGGTTATGATTAAGAGCGATTGATTGGCAATACTTTTTGTAGATGAAATGTTATGGATGCAAAATGTATCACTACAGCTTCAGGGGAACTCATTCTTTCTCGGGTTACCATGTATACCATCAGATTGTCGGTCGTCTCCTAAGTCTATAATATGTAGTCAAAGTAGAGGTCGTGATATAATCTTTCATCTCAACGACAAAAAAAATCTGCGGAAGAGGCAACCGTCGCATTTAAAATATTTTCGTCTGGAAAATCTTTAATCCAATCCGAAAGTGAAAACGATTTAATTAAATCGTTCTTAATTAAATCAAACGGCACGATTCCTTTTGTAGCCAAACCGCTTCGAGGCAAGATCATTATTAAAAGCGGATTAGATTGCGAGGATTAAAATCGCACCTTGTAAAATTTATATCAATTAGCTAGGAAGATAAATACGATGATAGAATAACTTAATAATCTCTAGCATACGTGGCAAAAGTTCGAAAGGCAGCGGGAGAAGGGAATGTAAGAGCGAGACCGCGCGCGAGGGAGAAGCGAGAAGAGAAACGCGTTCTCCTTCCTCATTCCTCGCGCGCCCTTCACGCTTCTCACGCACCCAAAATCTCCTTTTCCTTCCCTTTGGAACGCCTGGCACGTAGGCTAGATTATCTCTTAAACAGTTTAAGAATGGAATGTTTTTATTCGTAACATTGAGATTCTTGCCAAACCGTCGCATTACCTTAATAGCATCTTTGTTTTTTATTTCTTGCAAGTCAGTGTAGTTTGTTTCAATTTGTCAGGCATTAATTAATTAAAACTTTCAATTCATTGTTTTAATAAAAGACAGTGTCTTACAGTATATACAAATCTTGTCCATTATTTTTCTTAACAAACAAGATTGAACTCCTTATGTCCGCTCCTTAAGAGAGAAATTCCCGTACAGTCTCACAGTATCGATCTATCCAATGCAGCTATTTAAAGCCTTGCCTGTTCGAGTGCATTTATAAAGAAAGACGTAACTTGAAGTTCCCAGAGTTTCTTAACTTAGAAATCTTTGGATACTTAAATCATCAGTGCCGTATGGGTATACCCAGTAGGGAATACCGTATGGGTATACCCGATAGGGGATAACGAATGTGTATTCCCAGTTCGATCCCGGTAGAGGATGCCCATACAGCAAGTTATATCGAGTTAAGTTATGCCGGACCGTCGCAGCACGAACTTTCGTCAAGAGTACAATTCCTTTTAATTAGCAAGGCTTTTATTGCTTTGAACGTTCTTATTCCAAAGTTTAACTACTTTATCCTTTTCTGTGTTTTTTTTTATGGTTTCCTTGAAAATACTGACACTTTTGTCTGTTAGCCTGATAGTAACTGATCGCCCTTGGAGAGTTATCTTTTCTAGCATCCTAACAGAAAGAACGTTTAATCGTTGTTTCAGCCAAAGGTGAACTAATAAAAGGTTAGAATAGCCAAAAAAAAAGGCTCCTATAATAAAAAGTACATGTTAACGTAAAACAAGTGTCGACCCTGCACCGACCCATAGGAACTCCACTGATTTTGTATTTGGGTCGGAGGATACTAAGACGTTGGCGAAAAGGACGTTATCGAAACGACCCATGACGCCAAACTTTTCATGAGCCGAACCTGATACATTGAATAAAGTACATGAAAAGTTCGGCGTCATGAATCAATTAGGAACGCCTGGTTCAATTTGACACAGCTCAGCTGTTCTTTTCGCCAAGCCTGGCTGGGAATTTCGCCTTTGGAGCGACTTTGGAACGGCTTTGAATCAGACGCCGAACTTTTCATGTATCGAACCTAATGCATAAATTATTTTACGTATTTTGTAAGC